TTTTCAGTTTTTCAATCCTACTTTCTATTGTCATTTTTAAGACTGTAATTGGTTTATATTTTTCTGTACTCCAACATCCACCATGCTGGGTTGAAGAACTCTGATGGTTTATATTTGTATATGCTATTGTAACAGCTTTATTTATTTTTGGTGTAAATATTTTATGTGCACAAGGTGTTGTGAACATATACTTATCAATATATTGTGTAAATGGTGCATATTTTAATAGGAAATTTTGTCCTAATAAAATATCACATCCAATTGTGGTTGATATATATATATAGTATCAACAAATACTTCTCTAAAGGAAATTAGAAAAGGTACTTGCGTAGCATATTTGCTGCATATTACTTTATTTCCACATGCTCTTGTATCGGTGACTATCTTCTTTGAATTGTATATCCAGTATTCAGATGATAGTACATTTGGTAAACATAAGTTTATTGTATTTCCTGTATCTAAGTAAGCATGAAATTTAATTCTACAATAACTTTTATATTAAGTGTAATTTTAATATATGGACTCATGGGATTAGTACTTATTACTCTTTCCATGATAATAATGATTTCATATTTTCATCTATTCTTGATATGATGATTGGGTTATCATCAACTGTTATCTTTAAATATCCTTGGCAGATTTTATAAGGACTATTTTTCTCAAGAAAGTTCATTTCTAATAGAATAGGTGAACGATCTACTCCATATAATTCATCTTTATATAGAATTATTTCTTTAGTATATTCTTTCCGATCCTCTCCTATAAGTATAAGAGGGAACTTAACATATTTTCTTATTTCAAGATTATTTCCTAAATAATCATTAAATATATATGGTTCTGGTATTTCAAAGTCTATTAAATGACTAACAAATTTAGCATTTACATGACTTTTATCTACTCCAATATCTATGAGGACAAGAAGATTCTTCTTATATCCTTCTTGATTTACATATCTTGTCCTTGATGGTTCGGCAATACTTAAATTTTTAAATCTGCTTATCCTAGAGTCTTGTCTAGAGGGAAATCTTGCAATAAGATTATCTCCTTCTAAGCTGACACAATTTCTTCTTATTAGTTTTCCTTCAGAATTAATTTCTCTAGCTTGTTTGTGGAAATCAAGCATTATCTGTTCTAGTATAGTGACTTCATGTTCTTGGTATTTCCTAAGAGGTATATATTGTGCTAATTCCTCAAAATCTTTATGTATGATAATGTTATCAGTTATCTTTCTTAGATTGTTATGATGGCTAGTACTAAAAGCAAAAATGATTTTACGCTTATACTAATAGCCTTATTTCTTCGTAACATTTTTAAGTTTCCAATTCAATAATATAGATTGAAACTTTGATCAATATTTTCATCATTTAATGATATTGCATAATTTGGTTTTACTGTAAATATTATCTTTTGATACACTAAGTTTCCTACAACTGTTCTTAATAGAGCATCTATAGGATCTTGTAAGATTTTATTGTCCATACAGTATATTTCTATTGGTATGTTCATACATTCTCTAAAGAATCCTTTTACCATTATCTAGACTCCTCCTATTTCAATACATTTTAATTTATTTCTTACGTTTTCTGGAATTTTGAATAACTTTTGTTTTACCCATTCTTTTGTAATTATAGGAATCCTTGCTTTTCCTATAGTATCTTTTATATTGATAGACATTTCTTTATAATTCATACTTACAATTGTTTTATGTACTCTTGGTAAAATTTCTAAGAATCCTTGATGGAATACATCTTTTTCTTGTAGGTCTAATATCTTTTTAGTGATTCCTGTGTATTTTTTAATATCAAAGGTAATTTCTTGATTTATACATTCTATAGAGTCTTCAACCTCTTCAGTTGTTTATATTTCTATTTCTGATTGTTGTATCCCTTGATTCATATATACTATCTCCTCATAATCTTTTTCTGATGAGGATGTATTTAATTCATAAATGTTACTGCATTCACTACTTGGATCTTCAAAATATTCAATTGGTTCTATGTCACTATCTTCTTGAAAATTTTCATAAATTCTAAGAGTCTTTATATTCTGTCTATCTTTTTTTTAGGACATTGAGGGGCAATGTGTCATTCTTCATTACAAATAAAACATCTACATTTTTTAATATTTCTTGGTTTAAATTTCTTATTCCAATTTCTTTTCTTAAAATATTTTTTGTGTGGTTTAAAATTCCTCTTCTTGAATTTTTTATAGTTTTTGAATTTTCTTTTATATTTCTTATATGGTTTGTATTTCTTCTTAGGGCATCCAAATTGTTCAATTTGGCCATTATCTTTGTAACAACATAATGAATTCTTTCTTATTTTATATGCTTTTTTATTTTCTAAAGCTTCTCTGCACCTATGCCTATCATTCTTTTTGTAAATTCAATCTTACTTTCAAGATTATCTATTTTTACTCCTTCCTTTTCTCCTAGAGGTAATAATTTTTCATATTCTTTTAATAATTTAATTCAACATGGGAATGGTAACTTAGTAAAATAAGATCTTAATATGGGTTTATTTTCTCGATAATCTCCTTGGTTTAATATATAGTATATTTCTTCAAATTTATAAGTGTATCTTTCTAATTTACACATATCACATATCTTTAAATTTTTCATTGCTATCATTCCTTGATTATATTCATCTTGTTTTCTTTCTTCATCATTAGAAGTATATCTATCACCTAAGAATTCTGTTCTTAAGATTTTTTTAAATCTTTTTAATATCTCCTGTAGATTTTGTTTATTTAAAGTATTCATATTATCTAATACTTCAGTTCTACCTGTTCCATATTTTATCCTTCCTTTAATAGTTTCTGGTAATTTTCTCCACCATTCAGAAACAATTCCTCTGAATGTATGCTCTATAAATCCAATAGCTTTATTTTTATCTACACAGTCTAGATCTAACCATTTTCTTGATGTATGGATTGGTTCATTATAAGATTTCATTGAATTTATTTCTTTTATGGACTGTTTTCTTACATTTCCAGTGTATCTTTTCTGTATTTTTCTATATTGGTAAATACCATTCTTATTAGGTATTGGGGTACCATAAGGATAATCTTGTTCTTCATCACTATTGAATTCTACTTTTATATTCTGACTTGAAGATGTATTAGTATTCATCTTTGTATTTTTCATTTTTTCAGTTAATTCTTCCAACTGTTTTTTATATTCTTCATACTCTTCTCCTGTAAATTCTAAGAATTTTTGTTCTATTTCTTCTACATCTGTAATCATATATTGTTTTTCTTCATGTTTTTTCCCTTTATTATTTTCCTTTTGTGTTATCCTAAAATTTTGAGGTGGATTAATTATAATCCTATCTTTTCCTTTAAGATTTTTATCTAAAAGAGCATTTCCTACTTGTAGATTATATTCTAAATTTTCTAATCTTTTATGTATATCCTCAAAACTTTCATTTGTAGTATTTTTAGATAAATAGGGATAACTAGGTTTCTTATGTTTTTCAACTTTTTTCAAAAATTCTTCAATTATATTTTCTTCATCTATAATATTCATCATAATTTTTGGTTCGTAACATGACTCTAATACCATTTCGTTGGAGTGTGCAGCGGAAGGGTTAAGATTTTTGAGCCAATTAAAATCTTCATAAGTATTTAAAATATCACAATATAATTTATAAAATTCACTATTTTTTATTAATTTACTTGTAATCAAACGCACCCTTAGTTCTTTAATTCTTCTTCTCAGATTAAGAATTAGTTTATATATATAATTTTCTGTTTTGATTGTATTATTATCTATAGAAATATTTTTATTTTTTAATTTTGGATCTGAATATTTTATAAAGAATCCTTTCAGATCTTCTTCAAAATAATTTAATTCATTTTCTGTTGCGTTTTTTAGATCAACAAAATTTTGTATAATATTTGGGGTTAAATTTGTTAAAGATTTTTTATCTTTATTTCTTTGAGGACCTAATTGAAGGTTTTTATACATTGTAGTGGCTTTGGTTGCAATTTCACAA